ACTGAGGTCCTCCATCCACGACAGAGAGGGGAACGCAAAAATGACTCAGCCTGTAACTGAAAATATGAATGGAGAACAACAGAGCTGCTTCATGGAAGAAGAACCTCAGCTTAGCCTGTTAGCTTTTGCGCTAGTGCTGATGCTATATTGCCTTATGTGTATTAGCTCGGCGCTAGCGCGACAAACAAGCTAAACTGAGGTCCTCCATCCATATTTTCAGTTGCAGGCTGAGTCATTTTTGCGTTCCCCTCTCTGTCGTGGATGGAGGACCTCAGTGACGAGAGGGGAATGTGTAGTGCTGAGTCAATACATATATATGGTGATAGCATCGGGGCTAACGCTAAAGCTAACAGGCTAAGCTGAGGTTCTTCTTCCATGAAGCAGCTCTGTTGTTCTCCATGCATATTTTCAGTTACAGGCTGAGTCATTTCTACCTTCTCCTCTCTGTCAACGCTCTCTGGTTTCATTTAAAAGAGACGATTGTCAGATATTGTCCAAGATTAATCTTCAGGGTGGATATAGCTTGTTAGCAGCCTCACACCGAGGACTTAGTTGATGTCATCATTTACCCAGAATGCTTTGTGTGTAAATAAAATGGCCCTGTCCATGTAATATTTTTTTAAACGTTTAGTTTAAAAATTATAAAAACTAAACAGCCTACAGTATTTTTACAGTCTTTATTTTACAGTTAAAGTATGTGTTTATCATATAAAGTCTAATGTTACAACTAATCGGGGATCCCTTTAAAAGTTATGAAAGTTTGTTGTGATAGTTTTAGTGGCAGCAAAACCAGTGAAAAGATTAAATAAGCCAAAAAAAATCCCACCCCCACCCCTGTGCTTTGGCTTTCACCAAACATGCCTTTGTACATTGTAGCAAAATAGCTTTATTTGGACTTGTCATTGCACAGTCTGACCTAGGGGGGATTAGCTGGGGCCGTGCACTCCGGTGTTTTCCATTTGCGAATAATCTTTATCTTTGTAGAATGACTGATTCCAAAATGTTTGGAAATGATTTTCCCACTTCCCATATAAATGGGAAGATCATTGCAGATGTCTTTCCTGCCTGGTGTAGTGTTCAGAGCTGCAAACCACCAAAAGTCCTGCTTTCACGTGGACAATTAACAGTTAGTTAGCGCATTAAATCAGAAACACCTGGCTGATATTTCCCCTTCTAAATCCCTATGAAAGCAGACGAATGAGTTTTTAAAAATTGGGGGTCCTTTTTGTTATGTTCTGATAAGTAAATCCCCCTAAACTGAAAACGGATGGACTTTTTCTCTTCTCCATGATGCATAAATTTTCTTCCAACTTTGATCTCTTGCTGCTGGCTCCTTCCTTCCCATTTCGCTCTGAATTTTCATAAAAACCCTGGCAGTTTCAGCAGAATCCCACCAATGTCTATGGTAATCAGCATCAAATATGCTCACTTCTTGATGAACTCCGACTCGCTCCTCCTATCCTTGAGGCAGACGGCTGAAGAGTTGTGGCAGCACAATTGAACACATTCTGTGAACTGCTGGATTGCTGACAGACTGGCACTCAGGGCCAGTTACTTGACAGGCTGATTTGCTAAAAGAGGCAATTAGGAAGAGTGGCGCTCTGGAAGAGGTCCATCCAGGCGAGTTAAGAGATAGTTAGGAGAGTGGAAATAGGCCCCTTGGTAATCCACTTAAAGGAAAATTAATTTTACAAGACAGAGAAATGTGGTAATGCTCACAACGTTCTCTGACAGCTAATAATAACGATAGTCCTGCGCTATAAAGACAGTATCTGTTTTTGTTCCTCATCTATATGATCACTGGGAGTTTCTGTTCCTCCTTTCCCGTTTACTTAACCTCATGCTTTGTCTATTCCATGTAAATGAAGACGCAAGGACAAAATATTCGGGACTTTTTAGTTAGTATTCAAAGTTCAAGAGTGATTTGCATTTTTTTTAACAGCTGTCCCCTCTGTCCTCTCCCCTGTAGATGACCCCACTGTGCAGGGCCTGGATAAGTCCAGGCATCTACAAACAGGAGAGATGATCATAATCGTGGTGGTCTTGGTCATGTGGGCAGGTAGGTTTGACGGATGTTGTGGTACAATGTTTTTAGACCCAATGCGCATAAAATCAACTTGAAAGCCTCGCAAACCCTAATTTCTGAGGTTGTTTTATCATATAAAGAAGCTCTTTTGTCATTTGAGATGTCTATAATCCAATTTCTAATTTTTCTCTTGTTGTAAGGAGTGATTGAGGCCATCGGGAAAAACATTATACCAACAACCATTTGTCTGACAAATAAAAATAATTTAAGATAAAAAACACAATCCTTAAAACACTGTCAGTAAATCTGCTCACACCCATTTACAGTTTTTGACTTAAACTTTAAGATAAATGAATTAACATTTGTTAAATAAATACACATACTGTATTAG